CGGTTGTAGTATTAACAAATTGCACCTCAATTCCCTATTCCTTAATTGGGATTGTTAATAGTATTACAGCCATAATCTTTCCCATGCAGGTACAATTACCCTTTTCAGAGCTTTCCCATTGATCTGCCTCAGGGTTTTGATAAATTTCTAAGTGCTGCAATTACCTCATTTTAATGATAAAATTAATCTTGAGATGTTACAATTGCCTATCAGAACAGGAAGACTTGACTTTTCCAGCATGTATTTTTTCTTTAAAAAAAAAAATTATTTGGCAGCCAGAGCACAATTCCTTATGCCACCATTTTCTGCTCTTTAAAATTTTGCACACGCTGAATAAGCTGACAAGATCCTCATTTCATTTTCATGAAGGTCTTTGCTCCCTGAGGGACAATACACTTAGAATCCTACTCCAGCCCACTTCACTACCTAGGAAACAATTATAGGGGAACACATGGTTGTTATCTAAATGAGAGGCAGAATGAGAATGGATTTGTAATCCTCCTTAGAGATGGACCCTCAAAGAACTGGTGACATTTGCTCCCATTATTTCCTAGACAATTTTTATTTGGAAGAAATGTCGGTCCCCACAAGGTTTGGAGTATGTGTGTGAGTGTGGAGGGTTTTCATCTATACGCTCAGCAGAAGAACAAAGCTGAACAGCTGTACAATAATGGGATATTTCTAGTAAACTGTTTATAAGGAGGAAAATATCCAAAGAAGCAATGGTGAAAATGTTCTAATGCTGACCCTCTCCCACTAAAAAAGCGAGGATATTTAAAGAGACATAATTTACTAATACAGAAATAGCTGAATTTAAGCAAATATTTATTAAAAAGTATATAAAAATGACATGACGATAAGGAATAAATGGAAGTTTTCCAAATATAGCATTCATTCTTATTCTTTTAGTAAGCTGGAGAATCTGTCAGCCAGAAAAGGTTTGGTTAGTTAGAGGGGTGGGTGGGTATTTAATTGTATGAACCGCACTGCTTGGAGTGAATGTAAACAAATTTGATTGAGGCTTGTATTGACTAAAGACAGGGAATGTAAGATACAAAAGAAATGCAGTTGTATTGTTGAACGGTTCTAAATAGAGGTAGGAGTGCAGAGTGAAGAAAAGTGTTCACCATTTCCAAAACGTTCCTTGCTCAAATTGGATAGGGCAAGTGGTGGACACCATATTAATCTCCTCTCCTTTATTACATTTTTAAAAAAGATTCTCCTCCATTGATAAAAACAAACAAACATTGCTATGAGGTGCTGGAGTGTTGCTGATGCTCTAGGTCAAGTGTGAACAAGCTGTGGGTCACATGTGGGCCCCGGGAATGGTTTTATGGCCCTGGGGTGGTTGTCAATTTTTTCTTTGCTTCAAAAATATGTCTATGGGGGTGCGGAGAGCATTTTCACCTCATTTGGACCACCTGAGGCAAAGGTCTCAAAATGCCCTCTGAGGGCCCAAGAAGGCCATACAATATGCCTCTGTATCCCCCCCCCCCCACCGAATGCATTTGTTGGTGGTGGTGATGTGTGCCTTAAGGCAAACCTATAACAGGGTTTTCTTGGCAAGTTTCATCAGAGAGTATGCCATTGCCATCCTCTGAGGCTCAGAATGTCACTTTCCCAAGGTCACCCAGTGGGCTTATGTGGCTGAGCTGGGATTCAGACCCTGGTCTCCAGAATCATAGTCCAATGCTCAAACCCCTACATCACAATGGCTCAATGGAGAGGGCGATTAGGGATTTAAAAATTATATATATATCTTTTGCAGGAGCAGGAGAGTGTGCCCCCGCAAGGTCTCCTGGAGGGCTAATGTGGTCCCCTAGTCTTCCACAGTTGCTTCCATTACTCTATATGATGATCTGTGATACAATGGGGTCCTTGTTATCTTCTGGGGCTTGGTTCCAGGACACCACCACCACCACCAGCCATGGATAACAAAATCCGTGGATGCTCATGTTCCATTAAATACAATGGCATAACAAAATTGTGTCTCTTATATAAATTAGAAAATCAAGGTTTGCTTTTCAAGCTGTGGATGTTTGAATCTGTGGATAAAAAAACATCTGTGGATAAGGAGGGCCAACTGTATTTAGTAGGTTATTTTCACCCTGCCATAAATAGTAGGGTCTGAGGGCAATAGGGGATCAAGGGAGACTGGAAAAGAGTTCCATGCACTGTAGGCTGCAGTTTCCCTACTCCTGGTTTCAAGGGATGTCATATCTTGGATGTAGAAACCAATGGTTATAACCCACATGGAACAAAGGTGACATGCATCCTGTACTGTACATAAACTTTACCTGCTGCTCACAGGTCATAATGTGTTCTGGGCTTTGTTAAAGCTCTTGTACACACACTTAACTTTATAACACAATTATTATTTTTAAAAAGTACAAAGGATAAACAAATGGGTCCTAGAGCAGATCAAACCAGAAATCTCCTGGGAAGCCAAGAGGACCAAACTGAGTCTATCATACTTTGGCAAATCATGAGAAGGGAGGACTCTTTGGAAAAGACAATAATGCTGGGAAAAGTAGAGGGAAGTAGGAAGAGAGGAAGGCCCCATGCCAGATGGATGGACTCTATTAATAATAATAATAATTTTAATAATTTTTATTTATAGCCCACCTCTCTGCCCAACAATCGAGGAGGGTTACAGCATTAAAACAAAACAATTAAAAACATCCCCAATCCCCTAGTCCCAACCTCCCATCCCCTTAAAACAGGATTAAACAAGAAAAGATTAAAAAGCCATTAAGCAATAAAAAAATTAAAAACAATAAAAACCAATACAGAACAATCACATGCGGTGAGCAAATTAAATGACTGACAAACTCATCTCCCAGGG